CAGCAGCTCCTTATCCATCCATGGAGGCCTGCTGGCCCTCTTGCCTCATTTCCTTCTTGTCAGGATGCAATGCTGCTGAGCTTGTAGCAGGTGATCCTTGAATCTCAGCGAGTAGTCTTGGGCCCCCCTGCCCTCTAGAACTTTATCCCATGGAGCCTTACTAAGCAGGGTCCTGAAGAGGCCAAAGTCTCTTTTGAAGTCCAGGGCAGTGAGCTTGCTGCACGCTCTTCTCACTGTCCTGAGGATCTCAAACTCAACCATCTCGTGATCACTACATCCAAGGCTGCCCTGGAGCATCACATTCCCAACCAGCCCTCCCTGTTTGTGAGCACGAGTTCAAGCATGGCACCTCTCCTTGTTGGCTCCTCTATTACTTGCAAGAGGAAGTTGTCTTCCACACATTCAAGGATCCTGGGTTGCTTGTGCTGTCCTGTACCCTTGCTCCAACAGATATCAGTATGGCTGAAGTCCCCCATGAGAACAAGGGCCTGCGAGCGTGAGGCTGCTGCTATCTGTCTATAGAGCGCATCATCCACAGAGTCCTCCTGATTGGGTGGTCTGTAACAGATCCCCAAAGTGATGTCCCCCATCGCTGTTCTCCCTTGTCCCTGACCCACAAGCTCTCTCTTGACTCATCACTTGTCCCCAGACAAAGTTCCATACTCTCCAGCCTACCACTGACATAATTGGGTACTCCCCTCCTCATCTACCTGGCCTGTCTATCCTAAGGAGCCTATAACTTTCCATTCCAACACTCCAGTCAGAGGAGCCATCCCACCATGTTTTTGTGATACCAGTGATATCATGTCCCTGTAGCCATGTACACATCTCTAATTCCTCGTTTATTCCCCCCCCATCTCATCCCCCTTGAGATTGGGTCAGGCCAACAGATGGATACCTCTGTGCCTTTGAAAGTAGGGTCACCTACTACTATGACCTGCTGCTTTTTTCTGGAGGCACCAGTAGTGATCACCTTCACTGATGCATCAGCTGGTTGCTCATTTGGTGTGGTGGGTGTTTCCTCATTAGCCCCCTGCAGAACTGTGAAGCTGTTCTGGGTGAGGATGTCAGATTTTGGAGGAAGTCCCTTGCTTTTGATTGTGATGTTTCCTTGTTTTTTTTTTTTTTTGTTGTTGTTTTTTTGTTTGTTTGATTGTTTGTTTGGTGGGTTGTTTTTTTTTTTTTTGTGCGTTTTTGTGTTGTGGTTTTTTTTGTTTGTTTGTTTTTTGGGGGGGTGTTGTTTTGTTTTGTTACTAGTCCCCAGCTTCCTGGATTACTGCCCTCCTTTTCTTTATGCACTGTGGTGGACGCTTGAGGCTCCTGCACAGTTTGGGCCTGGAGCAAGCAGTCCAGCTCCCTCTCAGCTACTCTGACATCTTTCAGCTGCAGACGGTGTGCCACAGCTCAGCCACCTGCTGCAGGAGGACCTCCACCAGGAAGCACCGAGTGCAGCCCTGCCCATTGTGCACCCTCCCCTCAAAAGACCAGTGCAGGCACTCTCTACACTCCAAGTTCTACGCTGCAGCCTCCCCTCTCACCGGCTGTACCTGGTGCCGACGCTGCCACAGCCGGGGCATCCAGAGCGGAGCTCCCAGACCAGGCCTAGGCCCTGGCCCTGGCCCTGGCCCTGGCCCTCATCATTCGACTGGCTGCCCACTCGCGCTGCCAGCGCCAACCTCGGCGCCACACACGGTTCCCGCGCTGCCTGGGGCGGGTTTTCCCCGCTCAGGGCGGTGCCGTCCCTCCTGGCGCCGCCCCCTGTGAGTCCCTACTCGCCTCAGCGGAGTTACCAGCTTCTGTGCAAGGCCCGGCGAGGGTTTGAGGCTCCCTCGGGGGGTGTCTCTGCTCAGAATTGGGGCTCCTGGATGCGGCATTTTCCGTCGCTCCGGGGTTGAAGGCTCCTCTCTGCAGACACCTCGGCAAATGAAATACTAGTATTGTGAAAATCTCAAGCAAGTAGTCACTAAGACGCAAAGTTGTTAGTAGGGGATGTTGTTTTATTGCTATGGGGCTTTCTGCTTTAACATTTTTAACAGAAATTCATTGATTTGAGATCCCTGTGAAGTGGTTTAGCTGCCGTGATTTTCTGTTCAGAAAATACTCCTCAATAGTGGATGAGAAATTGCGTCTTTCTGAAACCCGGTTTCCATCAGGTTCCACATTGAGTGGCTGAATTGTTATGCTGTAAATCTTTACTGGTATGCTATTTCTACCTGTCTAGCTAATCTAAACCCAGAATTTTAGGTTTCACAGAAACAGCTTCCAGTGATGTTGGACAGTCAACAGTGTTATTTTGAAAACTCCTGCAATAATTTCACTTTTAAGAGCTGGAATTCAGGTGGCTCAAGCTATTGGCGTGTTCATGACCTGTTCTAATAAGGAATTGCCTTTCTCCTGTGACCCAGTAAAAATGGAGCAGGTTCAGCTGTGATGAGGATTCTTTCTATTTCAGGAAACAGCACAATGAAGGGAAGCTGCAAGATGCAGCTCTGTAATGCATGCTGTGGCCTTCTTAGCCCTGTTTCTGAAATCACTATGGTCTGGCTCCTACACATGAGAAAAAGTCAAGGAGTGTTGAGTCATGAAAGAAGCAAGGAGAAATCTGACACAGATGGTAACTGTGTTCCTTTTCTGATAGTGGCCCATAATGGGGAAAAAGAAGAGACATGTTTCATATGAAGTTACTGTTGTGCAACACTCCTGGATCCCCTAGTTTGTTTACAATCACTTTATTTTGATGCAGTGCTAATGGCTATTCTGAATTGTGTTTGCTTTTTTGCTTCCTTTGCCTTTGTCCATCCTCTAACGTGATAATTTGGGGTAAAGCAAGAATTAAAGTAGGTGTGATTTACTGAAATGAAGTTTCACATGATGTTTCATGGAGTTTTCATTGTTTTAATTCCTTCAGTTGAAATAAGTGCTCTCTGCAGTGCCCAAAGAGAGCAGCTTTTACTGCATGAAACTTATTTTTGATCTGACTGAACTTAATGTTCCAGGACCTGAAAGATTGGTGTCTTTTTCTTTTTCAGAGGAATGATTTTCAGAAGGACTCTATGTAGCGAATATGACCAACCACTGAGCTGCCTGATGTTACTACTGTCTCCAACTCTGTCCTTCACTGGGTGAAGTTCTCTTCTTACTTCACTGAGCAGCAGCAGAAAGTGAGTTTTAACAAGTGTGTCTGGAAAATAGCATTTTGAATAAGATGTATCAATACACATTAAGGGTTCTGCCATGTGCTTCTGTTACTCAGAGACTTCTGCTGAGGACAGCAGCATTGGAAGGATTAATATTTTAAAGTAACTGTTGGAGGATTATCATAAATCCAGACTCCATCTGTGTACATGATAAGGTGGAAGCATACATGGTTTCTTTAAAAGCCAGGAGGGGATTGTGTTTAATTAATACTGGGTTTAGCACCTGAGGGCACTGGGGACTGCTTGGAAAGGGGTACAAAGGTACATCTGGGCATGTGTCTCATTTTTAAAGAACGGGGGCTTTTGAAGGAAGTGCTGTTACATTAGAAGTACACTTTGTCTGTGGTTCTTCAGGCATGGCACTGTGTGGAAGGGTATAGATTTTCCATTCTGTTTTTTCCAGTCAGTGGAAAAAATAGCAGTTGTAAGTATGCCTGTTAAGGGTCCCATGGCCTATTCAGGAAATGTCCTTTTTGAAACTTTACATGGGAGAGGTTGTGCTGTCCAGTGATGTAATATTGTATTTTTGCATCAGTTTCTTCTGTGGGCATCTTCTTGCAGACTTGCGGAAGTCACAGTGAAGTCTAAATGTCGAGGGTAATTAATAATGCCTTTGTTTTTTACACTGTAGAGTAAAACATACTTCACAAAAATTCCACTTAGCAACTTTTCTACGTATGTGTCATGTTAATTTTTTTAGAGGCTGAAGCTAATTATTTAGAACAAGGTAGAATGCTGAAGTTGGGTCATAACACTGAAAGGAGATACTTTGTGAGGAGAAGGAAACACGAATTCATATAATGCAACATATACTGCAACTGCACTATCATAAAATTTCCCATTACTGACGTAGGAGATTGCTATCTCCAGGATTAACTGTAATATCAGTATATCACATACGACTCCATAAAAGAAAACACCAAACAGACTAATGGAATAAGAGGCACATGATGAGCTTTACTTTCAAGTTATGTCTGTGTGTTGTGACAGTTAAACCTGAGCTGCAGCTCACTTTGCTCTACAGCATTCTAAAGACCTGATAAAGTTAAAAAGGATGTTTTTGCAAATTCTACTTATCTTTTAAGTTACAGTCATCATCAGAAGATATACTTTGGCTGGTTTTGCTTTGAATTTCTGTGCTTCTGAGTCATAGATCTGGTTGATTATGACTGACTGTATATTGTAGCAGCCCAAATGAAAGTGGGTTTTAAAAAGGTTCTCCCACATAAAGTTTCTTTGGCAAGAGTTGGTTAAAATTTTAATAAAAAAAAACTTCGGTCTTAAATCTGTATCAATATTGCTGGTTTTGTGAATTTAAAAATTATAATAATTTTTAAAAAATAACCCAAACACAAGGGTAGAGAGCATAAGTTCACTGTGGAGAGGAATGAATCCCTTTCAGTTCATCTCAGCAGCTGGTCTTATTACTTACCCCTAGTTTCAGGTGAATCTTAATCTTGAGATACAATTTCATTGCCAAAAAGTGCTTGTAGGTAATATGTGAACCAGCCACTGTGAGGCTAGCTTTGCAGTCTAATATCATGAGATCCTGATGTCTCTATGCACAGTGATGTGATACCAGTGTTTGGAAAATGTACTAGCCTTTTCCTACACTGAAGTGACTCTTGCAGCATTTGCTTTGCTTTGCTTTGCAAGCTGGGTATATAGAATTCCTGTTCCATGTGTCCAGCAGAGCCCTTCTGCTGGGAGGAATGCTGTAACTAAAAGAAGTATTTTCCTTAAAAAAAAAAAAAAAAAAAAAGCCGCAACTTCTTACTGCTGTTTGTGCTTTATATTAGGCTGTTAAGCTAGATTTGCTCTATAGAAACTTTTCTGGCTTTATTGAGTTTAGACTGATGATGTACATGGTCTACTGTCCTTAGAAGGGACGTAAATAGGACAACATATAAACCTTGACAACTGTGAACTTTGTTTTTAGGCTATAAATTTGATGGGAGTAAGGAAGGTATACTAATCTTTTTGTTCTGCATGAAACGTTTAGTGTATGGGATTATGGCCCATGTGTAGGGTTGCTATGGATGACAGTACTAATAATTTACTTCTTTATTTTAAGATTGCTTTTATATAAACCTATTTATAGCATGGAACTCCTCACATTGCTATGGTGTTAACAACTGCAAGGCTAAAAGCACAAATGTTTGAACTGAGATACCTGTTGCTCAGCCACTGAAATACCATTGTCTGATACTAACATTACTTTGCAGATAAGGGCCCTCTCTCAATAGAGCCTTGTGCAAATGGTGGTTTCAGAAGCAGAGACAGATGCCCTGTTGGAGTTGCTGAGATGGTGATATCTTTTACTGAGGGATCAGAGGATGAGGGCCACATTGCAGCACCTCTTGGAATGACCTAAGGGAAGAATGGCACACTCACACTGAGGAAAATGGAGTACATGTAACTTGCCCATATTATACCCTGAAGAGCTGTAGAAACACCCATACAGCATTTGAGGTACCTTTGTTTTTTTTTCTGAATGTCAAGACTGCTGTTGCTTTTGAATATGACTTCAAGGAAAATAGTTTTTGCTACTCTGACTTACCCGAGAATGTGTGAAAATTTAATCAATGTCATGTGCTATGATGCTGCTTTCTAGCCCAGTGGTGGATGCATAATAGTTTCCAAAAGTATGGAAAACGAGGCTGTAAACTGCAAAACATAGGGACTGAGATCCCTGGCAGTACATGAAAATTTGAAAGACTGGCAACTTGTGACTGCTGCTTTACACACTATTTCAGTCTTGACCTGCAATAGCCTTTTATTACACTGGCTTTGGGCACCTTCTCTGCAGGACCACCAATAGTGACCAATTGCTGCTCAGTTTTTCAGAATTGCTCGGATGATCAAACATTTTCACTTGTTGACCCAAGTCTCAATTAGAGCTTAAACCCATGAAGATGAAGAGCTTGTCTGTTAAATCAGAGCACTGCTTACTATTACCTTTGCCAGCAGGCTGCTCTATGAACAGCTGCTGTGGTACAAAAGGCCAAAGAGAAGGGCCTCAGTTTGCCCTGGTCCTTTCACACCCCCATGTCACTGGAACATACCCAAACTACAGGCAGTCTTTCCAGTGCAGAACAGGCTGTACAGTTGACTCTAACTGAAACGTGAATCATCTCAGTCCTAAATTATTTTAATCCAGTCATCTGTGTTAAACGGTGTAAAGAGACAGCAAAGCATAGAGAATGGTTGCCAAGTAGAGGATACAGGACACAAAGCTGCTAAGATGAGATGAAATATGAACTAATAATGATTTATTACAAATGCCACTGGGATTATAGTGGGAATCACTTGGAGAGATACTCAGGTGAAATGAATTTTGTAGGCTTTCCCCTGAATGATTATTACAGTCTTAGTAGAGGTGAAGGGAAGGCAAAGCTGTTAGTTACACCAGGAGTACACACAAGAGTTTTGAAGTGCTCCCAAATAAATTCTCCCTAATTAATATAGGCTTTTCAAGCCTCCTGTAAGTAGACAAGCATGAACAGCTGTAGTTCTTTTTATAGACACAAACTAATCTCTAGTACATGTTGGAGTTGAAGGATGTAGAGAACAGCATGCTGTGGATTTGTAAGTCTTTTCTAGCCATGAAAGTATTCTTTTTATATTCTCTAAAAGTAGAAGGGAATGCAGAAGAGTGCAGAGTATAGTCTTCAAGAATCCTACTTGGGAATAAAGTCATGACAAGAGCAAAGGGTCTAGCTCTTAATGACACATACCACACACTTCTTATTAACATGTGTGAGTTTTGACCTATTTTCTTGACAGGTTCAGCCTTTTGTGACCCATATGAAATGGGCAGCATTCACTAGCATTTCTTCCCAGTTTCCACTTGTGTGAATGGCCTTCATGAAAAAGGATGAGAAGAATTACATGCTTCATGGTTTTTAAAATAATTGTAAATGCCTAAGCAATAACTTATAATAAAATCCCTTAGCCTTGATGAATATCTTTGAACATTCTTCCTGTTTGACGATGATATGTTTTCTCTCTCTCTTTATTGCTAGCTGTATGTATTTTCAGTTTAATATTGTCCTCTGCCTGGAGACAATATCCGGTTTTGGCAGGTGAAGGGCGGAACTGTAATAGCTCCTTTCCATCTCTAATGCCCGTGATTTTATTTACATGAAAGCATCCTGGATTTTGAACAGTTTGTTTCTTTTGGCAGTTTATTACCAGCCTGAATGTCCCACTTTTTCATGATCTAACATTCGGCTGCTGCACAAGTCATTATCACCTCCATTTTTAGTTTTAATAACCTTGCTTTTAATAAACCTCGGTTTGAAGTAAATTTCCAAAACCTCCCTTCAAAACAATGCCCCAGATCTTCTAGAACCCACTGGTTACTTTTTTTCTCCTCAAAGGAATAAGCTGGTTACACTTTTATTGATCTTATGGCTTTTCCTGATGTGACATAGGAAGAACTGATTTACTTAGGGCAAAATGACTTGCTGGGTACTCTCCATTATTGTAACCAAAGGGAGAACTAACTACTAAAGGGCTCATGGGGAAGAACTGTTTCAATGGCTCTTTGCGCCCTGTGCTTTTTGGCTCAGAAATTGTATGTCCCCATTGTGGACTAACTGTACCTCATAACTCTTGTGATGTAGACTGCTATGGATTGCAAATGAATTTTGTCCATTTATTCTCATGCACTAGAAGGAGCACTGGGGAGAAGCAGAAAATCACTGTTTCACAGAACTCTTCTCTTTTGATTTCAGAGGAAATAAGTACAAACTCACAAACAAAGTCACTGTAGGGAAAAAACTCAGCTATAAGAATACTGCTGTTTAGAGAAGGGAAAAATGAAAATGCTGAAGTGGAGATGGTGTGGATTCCACACATCTCTAGAACAGCTATTTTTAGGCAACTAACCCTTACCCTCCCAAGATTCACTTCAAAAAAAGCACGTCTAAAGGTAAACCACTTTGAAGTATTAGAAGGCAGATGTATTGACTTACCCATAAGACATTTCAGTACAACAATTGCTTTGAATTCTGCATTCTTCTCATGAAACCTGCTAAAGGAAAGTTGGAAGGAGTTTCCTAATACTTTCTCATGGCTCTGGGGAGGTTAGCTAAGAGTGGGTTAAACTGGTCCCTTAAGTGACTGTTGGAAAAAGAAGCCATGGAAGTATGGAAAGAACCATAGAACCATAGTGCTGTCCTCAGTGTTACTCCTTTCTCTTTCCCCAGAATCTCAGAAATGAAAATCAAGATCTGAGACTTCAAATTACTGCTCAAGTGCATTGCCTTTCAATTGGATTGTAGAAGAAAATGAGGGAAAGTATGTCATTGATTATAGAAGGGAGCACTGACTGTGCGTTCAAGTTTTCATTTGGTTGAAGAACTTCACAATAATGAAGAAACCATCTTCAAGAAGTAATGTACATTTGTCCCCAAACCTCTCAGCTTTAGCTCTGTAGTAGCTTTGAAGTTAAGCTACACTAGGTGAACAATGGCCAGTTTCGAATCTCATATTTCCCTTTCCTCTCTAGTTAATCCTAGGAGGCTTACGGGTAAGACCCATGCAGTGGTGGGATATACCTGAGCACAGTAAAATCCAAGTGAAATTTTTTCATGAGATGCACACAAAAAAAGAAATAATAAAATTACAGTGTGACTCAGATCAAGAAGTGAACTATTTGAGAAAGTTTTGATGCTGAAAAGCATCTTGCTTTTATCCTTGCTTGTCTTGTGTCTTTGCAGGAGCACTTCAGAGCAATGTAGGAAGGTATTCTGGATTCAGCAGGTCTGTAGTTGTTCTAGAGGTATTGGCTAAGGTGACATTGTTGCTTGCACCACTCACTAGGCTGTTGGACTTCCTGTTTTGCTTGTGGCTGTTGATCTTAGGGTACAGGAAACCAGAGTGGTATCCAGAAGGAAGCTCTACTCCTTGGACATTGCTGTATGTTATTGTGATGCTGGGTATCTGCGCTGCAGGTGGTCCAGAGTGAGACTGTCCTTTTCTTTGTCCAGTACCATTCAGGCTTTCAGCTCTCTAAAGGATGTAAGGATTTAAAAGATACTAACATCATAAATATCTACAAGGAGATCAGGTTGCATCATCTATGAAAAAGTGGCATATATTTAGATAAGCACTTTGCCAATCTGCGTCACTAACTGAAAAACAAAGGTGGATAATAAAGTAGATCTGAATATTTTTACAGTATTTCATGAACAACTTATGAGGAAAAAAAATGTTTAACAAGTTAACATACTAAAGCATAGATTTTTCATTTGCTACTTAAGAGCTGGTCTACTTCGATAAAGACCAAACTAATGACAGCACATTTGACTACAAACAGAAATGCTGTAAGTATGTTCAGACAGACTATGAGTTCAAGTAAGTAAGGAGTCCCTCCATAAAGAGGGACTGTTTAGGTTCTCTGGGGCAACAGGTGATGTGAAATGCAGTGATAGCAGCATGGATGGTTGAAGGGGAAAGCAAACTAGAGAATGAAGTGAAAAGGGCAATTGAGGAAGATATTAATTGGCATTTTTTGGCAATAGCAATGTTATCTCTCACTTTCACAGGACCAAAAAATCAAGAGTGTTAGGATGAAGACAACAATAGCTGGTAAGGATCACTGCTAACAATAAGATATAATTTAAGATTTTTATATTACATTTGGCTTAATACTGTAAAGAAAAAACTGGCTTGTTTACATCTGTCAGCTATTTTCTCTTATTTCACTGTCTTCTATCAAGAACTAAGGCAACTTGCCTCACTTGTGGCAGATGTCCAAAAAAAAAAATTTATTGGTATTCTGTAGCTTCGTTACATGGAAGAAGAAATAGACACTAACACAATATCCTACTGAGTAAGTAATATGGCGTGTTTCAAAAACTTACCTTGATTTCCTTCAAGTTGCATTTTTTAGATGTTTGCTGCTACAACATTAAATAGTTAAAAATGTCACTTTGTACAGCAGTACTTGCCACAAGACTATGGCTGTCTTAGAGGTACAGTCATCAGAATGGCTGTCTCAGCTTACTTTGCATATTATTTGTATGAAGATGGCACAAAATTAATGCTTCCATGCTCCACTAAGGAAATCACAGACCTCATCATAAGACCTACTGAATGAAAGAAAATATTCAAGTTCCTTGAAGAAGCAGGACTTAAGGAGCTCATTGTGATATATGTGTTCTCCTTCTGCTTAGTTTCAGCAATGATCTACACTTTTTGGTCATATTTTCTATATTCTGCTGGGAGTAGACTGGGTTGTCACTAGGTTTTGTTCACTTGGTTAATTAGACCCATGCCAAATATTAAAATAATAATTCTTACAGTAGGTGTAGCAGTGTATTCTGTGACATTTAGTTCCACCATGGATATGTCATCAGAATCTACAGCTGTCTGAAAAATAAACACAGATAAGAAAGACATAAATGACATGTAGATATGTTACAGTATTTTACATGAAATTCAAAGTATAGTTTAAAAAAGGAGGGGAGACAACAGAGGACTGACAGAAAAGTAGTGATATGCTAAAGATAGCCTTGGTTTTTATCTCTCACCACGTGTGTCCTTTTGATAGCAAATGGTGAGACAACAGGGTTGGCTAAGTGATTTGGACAGTGGAATACAAATATTACTGAATACACACTTAAAACCAAACACAAAGCAACATACCATTCAGATGCTAAGTTCACTAACAGAGCACCATTGCTTGTCAGAAGTGCAACAAAGACAGCTGAATAATGAACCAGGGTAGAAATAAAAAGCTGATGACCTTTCACAGCCACTTAAGTCTTCACTTCCTGTGTTAGCTCATAGGTTATCCCCATCTTCTTGGCAGGAACCTTCATACTTAATTATGGTAAAATGTGCAGATTTGTTAACCTACCAGTTGTCAGAGAATTTAGATATTACACAGTCTATTACCTTCTCACAAATCCCAGAATCAGGGCTCTTCAGTTTAGGTTTGCTTCTTACGTCACTAGTTTGAGTTGTGCCTTTACCCATTTTGTAGGAAATCTGTCTGCTCACAAGTCTGGAGAGCATACTGGGGTTATCAGTTTCTGTGTCAGTACAGCCCTAAAATGAAAACAGCAAAAGTAGTCACTCTGGGTTCCTTAGACTTCCATCAATTTGCCCCAAGCGAACCAGTTTTACCTAGACAGGAATTGTAAAACAGAAATTGTATAAAAGACATCTCACATAAGTTACGCCATGTGTGACTTCACAAAATCTTTGCTTGTAAGACGTACAAACAAAACTATCAAGTCTTTTGAGTCTAAAATTCAGCTTACTTCTTTCTTTTTTTTTTTTTTTTTCCTCCAGAGGATGCACTGCAGATTTTCAAACAAAATAATGTTTTATTATAGTCTATTGTTGAAACTTCTCTGATTCACATTGTAGCTCTGAAGTGACCAGTGTTTCCATACTAGTACCCAAATAGAAAGCACAGGGCCAAAGGAGAAATTAGGGCCAAAGTTTCCAAAGTAGCTTGGGTGGAAGCAGAAGTAAATGGAAGGAAATTACCAGGGAATGCAGAATCAGTGCTTCAAAAACATTTTGTTTTGTGAACAAGCTGTGATTTTCCAAACTTAGAAGGATTTTTTAGAAGAGCTTAGCAAAATAACCAGGAGGACAATCTAAACATTTCTTTTCCTGCTGAAGCACATGAGGTTGGGCTCAGCTATTTTTTGGATTGCAGCTTATTAAAAAATGTATACCCTGCTTCCCATTCCATGCATAGAGTGTAGTAGCACATACAGTCTGATTCGATTGAATTTCAAAGTGGAAGTAACTTTATTTTCTGAGCATCTGTTCTAGAGTTGGATATATTTCACTGCAAAGAACTTACTGGAAATTGTTTCCTTAGAATTTTCCAAGGTGCAGAATATCTTTGCATTCACAGGAGTAAAAAAAAAAAAAAAAAAAAGTCATAAAGCTAATTTATTGTTTTACAGTTTGATGACCAGCCTTGATATAAAATACATGGCAGCATATGTACTGCCTTTTTGAATTGCAGGTATATATATCTAGAAAGCTTAGAGCTTAATTGAGGCACAGATGGTACCAAACAAAATCCAAATAAATTATCTGTGAGCATCAAAGCAATTTTGTTTAGTTTAAACTTGAGCCCTTGTTTCTGTTCTGTACTTCAGCTAAACTGATACACTTACTAATAAATCATTGTTCTATGGTCAAATCAAATAGTTAAGGGAAATACGTTCTTTTCACAAAATCTTGACTCTATCACTGTTCTGAACAAGATCTAGACTTAATGTTTACAGAAAATTCCAGACTGAAGCATGCCAATTGCTTGAAATTTTTTACTTTTGGTTAACTACTTTGTACCCAGTTTTGTACTTTTGTTCTCTGCTGTTCTACCTTGAGTATTAAGAGCTGCTTCCCTAAGCAAAAAAGAATTGCTGAATTGCTTGTATGTTTTCCCCTTCCCCAGTAATGATAGTAGTACAAAACCACACAATGTTACTGAAGGAGTTTGTTAGGTTTTTTAAGAATCAGTATTTACAATCTAAAAGATTCAATATAGAAATGTTCTTTTTTTATTAGCCAGTGACTAGTATCATGTGAGTGGTGGCTACTAGCCAGTAGAATTTGATTTTGATTAGACTGAAGAAATCAAAGTGTCAGTGTTAAAAACAACTGTCAGAATTCAGTGCTTGGCTGGATTAGATATGTATATTACCTTGACTATGAAAAAGAATCACCAAGAAAATTATGGCTTTTCATATACTTGGAAATGTCATTTAAAACAATTGCAATGAATAACTGAAGTGTAACTAAGAGTGTAAAGAGTAACTAAGTAACTAAAGTGCTTAGTTACTTAGTAAGGTAACTGGGTTGCAAGAGAGAGCTTAAGATGCTGAATATATTCTGTTTCCTGCTGCCATGCAAAACACTGCGTTTCATTTAGACTGGCAGCAGCAAGCTGTTGAGGTGATGAGAATGATTCTGTAATGGATTTACTGATTTGTCTAAATCTAGTGATTAATATGTTCCCAAATATATCCCACTTCACTTTCAGAAAACATTACTGTTTCATTACAACCTTGCTTTCACTAGAGAACTATTTAGTGACTAGCAGTTTCTTTTTTGTTTGCGTCCAGACTGCAAATCTCGGATCAGACAAGTATACCCTCAAAATATGAGCAGATTTTCAAGGGTGCTCTGACTCGAAGCATCCCTTACTTTCTAAAATTCCTGTTGTTCTACCTTTCCACTCTTGCTTCAGTGTCACCAACCACCAAGAGTACAAAGATCTACATTCTGCTTTTATACTTCAGCCTTCTGTCTTATATTTCACTTTGTCTCTCTGCTTTCTCTGGAGCTCTTGTAATAAGCACCATAATGCATTTAATCTAAAGAATGTACCAATTTGAAGGACTCTGTGTGAAGATTAATTACTTTGCAATTAAAAACGGGTGTATGGGAAGTGTCTTCCTTACTGATTCACCGTCAGAGAGAGAAGACAGTCGCCTTTTTCCTTTTTGCGGCCTGCTTATCTCAGAAGACTGGCTGGTTACGGTCTCTCGTCTGGAGGAGGGGTAACTGCTGAAAGACTGTGAGTCTTCAGGAGAAACTCTCAGCAGGGATCCAAGACAAGGAACATATGTTGCAATGGCTGTTCTAATGGATGAGAGGTAGAACCAGTCAAATTTTTTTCTGTTAGCACGAACTTCAGTCATCATAAACAATGCATGTATTCAAAGAGATGAACTAATGCTGCATAGCCTGGAAAATTGCTGAGTACAGAAAGTTTTCCACATATCCAGTATCTCATTTACAATCACCCTGCGAGATCACTTATTCACAGTGTTCTGCAGAACTAAATTTTTTTGCTTGGCAGGGATAAGAGCATTAAAGTATAACTCTTTGGACTGAAGGGAGCTATTAAAATGATGTTTTGTCTGCTTTCAGCTTAATCAGGGCAAAAAAAAAAATTCTGTCCCTTTAAACTGAACCCTGCAGAAGTAACACATAATGAATTATTTTAATGTTCCCCTAAGCAGCTCTTCTAGCTTCCTCTTACGCATCTGTTTGCCAACTATCTGTAAAGTTGTACAAAATGTGCAGTTATATTACCATATTTCTTTCCTCATATGCAGCATAAGCACACTCTTTTGCCTAGCTTTCTTCTTCCTCCCAACATTCCCCAGTTAGATGTTCATGCCCACCTCTTCTCTATTCAGTTCCCGGTAGTTTTTTGTAAAGCGTATATATTGCTTTGCTGCCATCCATCAGATCTCACAGCCTGCATCTGAACTTGATATGGTAATGACCCTAGATATTACAGCTCAGAAGAAATACTATCTGAAAAATGAAAGCTTGAAGAAAGCTGGGGGATGTACAGAGTAGGGAAGAGGTGGTTTGATTTCAAATTGCATCTCTCACTGGCCAGGTTAACAAACTGCTATTTGCAACAGTGATAAATGTCTGTAGTTCTCATGAAGATACTTTTTTAAAAATGATGGTGCTTTCCTTTGAGGTGCTAAGGTCTCTATATTTTATCATGTAATCTGTAAGTACAGATCAGTATCCATAAATGTCTCTAACTCCTATCTGCATAGTAACTTGCTCCAAGTACAAATTCTACTGAAAATATGGCATTAAGAAGTTTTCTAGGGGAGGATGAGGCTGTCTTGCGGAGGTAAAATGAGCAGGTGAAGGAGAGTTCAGATTCTAGTTCTAAAAGTGACAGTTATTGTCTGATTTTCTTTGCTATATTAAAGTTAACTTAAGAGTGAACTTACCTGTATTTGGGGTGAATGATGGCATAAATGATGGGGTTATGGATGACAGAAGCTTTGGCAATCACAGCTGGTATGGAGTTTGTGAAGGGTGTTAGGACATGAGAATACCTAGAGTAATGCAAATGCATTATATATTTAGTACTCAGTTCTGTGTAGTCTGTGCAGTTATACACTGACAAGACAATGCTTTATTAGTGTTCCAGGGAGAATAAAACGGGGGTTTCCATACCCAGTGAGAGAACAAATTTTATATCCTTTGTCTGTAATGTTTAACAGCATTACATTTCTAAGAAACATTTCTAATTACATTTCCGAGAAACACTATTTTCTTGGGACTTCTCTTGCAATACTTCACTACTGTAACTCAGGATGGTGGTAATTCCCATGCTGACAAAGCCAACATTCCCTAATGAAAAAGTCAGCCTTCAATGTGAACGTACGTTGATCAGAGTATCTCTGTTCCAAACTCAGCAGATATACTTGACCACAGATAAACTTGTGGTTACTAGATAGGTGTTCAGAATGAAGCATTATAGGGAAAGATAACTGAAAATCTATTTTTCTATTGAAACTTTGTTGGTTTTTTTTTCTGATCTGAATTAAAAAATGAAGGGGAAGTATTTTTCTGAACTGAACAGTTAAGGAGAAATATTTTCAGGTGTCATATGTCACACTCATGTTATTGTGGCCATGCGTATGTACAGGTGATATGATTCTAAAGGATAAAAGAATTATGATGCCATGCTGCTATCAGCCAGTTAATTTTTGAAGGTAGCTTGAAGCAGCCCTTAAGGTTTTGGTCAGGAGAAATTCAATAGAACAACTCAGACCACAATAACAATAACATTTCATAGGCAGTTTCTAGTAGGCAAATTTTCCATAGACCTGCTTGGAGGCTATAAATATCTCTTCCTGCACTGGCAGAAAGAGTTCTAAGTTAAGTGGCCCAGTAAGTCAGTCTTTCCTCCCAACAGTAATATCCTTTCTGTATCACTGCTTCTCTTCCTGGGAACACAGTCTAAGCTCCATCTTTCCATTAGCCTTACATTCCTGTATGATTGGAGAAAACAGATTTTCCTCTCAATCCTCTCAGAAGAAGGTCTTTCATATACATGCTGCAAACAAACAACAGAATTGCATAAGTAGGTGGCAGCTCATTTTCCTGCTGAAGAAATTTTTCATCATGCTATGTGAATATTTATGGCTTGCTAATGGTGATACAGGAATCATTATGTCAACTGCCTGAATGTTGAGATGTCATTTCACCTCTAATTTGAGGCTTTTTTTTGATAAGCATGTTCTCCATATACAATTTTTAACATGGTTTCTCCTAATCATATGTTTAAAGCATTGTTTAGAGGTGTAGTTCTTCAGAGATTCTGGAGAACAAACAATAGCATGGCCTTGCTGTAAAGCAGTTTTTGACCCTGAGATGAGAGAGATGATGTTTTCATAAGACTGATGGAGAGGTCATAGTGACAAAGGCTGAGAAATAGTGACAAAGGCTTATGTTTAAGCTAACAATTCCCAGAAATACAACCTTTATACCAGCAATATTAGTGAACCAGAGTATTTTCTAAAGAAATTAAGGTACTTCCTTAATTTTGAGTATGTTGTTACTCTGTCAAATGAGTTGCCTTTAGTCCAAGACTACAGCCACAGACTCCATGTCTGCTTCCCATTTGTGGTACGCAGTGATTTTATCTGAGTTCATTGTAATAAACGTCCACAGAAGACCTGCAGCCTTGGTCTGTTAATCTCTGAAAAAGTCCCAGAAGCATTGCCTAAAAGGCATACTTCAGAAATGGAAAAAAAAAAAAAAAAGGTGAATAAAGCTGTGTTGCTCACCAGATGTCTTCATGAGCAAAATTTGCAAATGCTCATTTGTCGCATAGAGTTACAAAATTGTCCATTTGTTCATGTTTGTCAGTGTGAGACATGGGCTAGAAGTCAAGTTCAGCAGGCACTTGATCATCCTAAGGTAGATGCTGAATCATACAGGACAGTGTGACATTACTACATAGCTAAAATGTAGAGCTTAAAGCATCTTCTAGTTTTTTAATTATTTTTTGGTGGGAGGCAGTAGCTTAGAGCAAGTAGTTCTGCAGTGTAGCTGTGCTTCATTTCTTTGTCTTCTTGCTCTTTCTCTCTCTCTGTCTGCTCACATGTGACCAGGGGTGGGTACTGAGTACCTAAGTCCCCCTGTGACAGGAAATGGGATGCTGGGGCACATCCTAAGGATGTGTTTCTGAGTGAGGAATATATTTACCTTCACAGAGAAAATGTTTGCTGCTGCTTGGAATTGCCCCTGTAGATACAAAGGGGGAGAATCCTCTTACTATTTTTTCTTAGGTATAAGATTTTAGAAATCCTATGTTTAGGAAGATGCCTTTTGAAAAGAGGCCCTGCAATGGCCTCTTCCTCAGGTGTGTAACAAAAATCAACCCTGCATCCCAGAATGCTCTGTCATACATAAATTTATCCTATGTGTCAATTTTAGGAAAACCTACTTTTTATTTCTGACTTGAGAAATACAGATACAAGTGCCCTGTACTATCATAGGAGTCTTCCACTTGAGGATTTGCAGCTGACAAGACTTTCTAAAGCAGATTTTCTAAAGTCACATTTTACAAAGACCAAACTGAAACACAGGAAAATTCACAGGTTAACATGGGAGAAATACTTGCATAGAGCCAAGGCATGTGGACTTCCAATCCATTACTTACGCTGGATTGTATCAATTATAGCCTGGTATCAGGCTATGTACAGATACAGTATTAATAATATCATGCTTTTGTTGAAATTACTGCATAGAATGCTGACAACTAAATAGATGAAAACATGCTTAGGTTGTTTATATTTATGATCTTTTATATCCAACATGAAAAAGCTCCCCAATGCAAGTATATACTAGTTTTGAACTTGCTTATCATGTAAGTAATTTCAGCACTTTGATGTAACACAATAAAATGAGTAGAGTTTTGTAAGTAAAAGAAGTGGAGAAAGAAAAGAGAATCAGTTCCTGGGTGGATTTTTGGGGCCCCTTATTTAGCATATTGGTGCTAAATAAATTTCAGATGTTTCAAATATCCTAGTGCAGAGAATCTGCATTCAGGAGTCATCAGTGCAGTAATGTTATGTTGCCAATAACAATCTTCCTTTTTTTTCCATAACTTTCTTTCTAAGTCAAACTAAGAAAAATAACAGAGTTAGTATGTGCCTCATTTGTTGTATGTCACTCCTAAATATGTGAATGTTTTGGCTGCACTTCAGGCATTAAAATTGACAAGTAGCTTTGACTTTTATCTGTTTTCTACAGTTTTACACCTTTTGCTTTCACTGACTATTCCTTTGTTGATACATTCATAATTACCCAGCAAAAGCTACCAGAGCAACAACAGAGTATGGTGACCAGGAAATGACATAAAGCAAGATGACAATCAGTGCAATTTTGGCCATCTTCCACTCATTTTTCATCCTCTGAAACTGTTTCTGGAACTCTTTATTTCCATGTTTGCATCCAAAAGCTTGAATAGACCTAGGAAATAAACATACAACAGCAAAAAAAGGAGGTAGGGAATTGAGAAAATGGCTTCATAAAGTGTGGCAACAAGTACTCTTATGCTAGTTTATGCTAAGTTTCATGCACTTTTAATGTGTGTTAATGTATACACGTGACCAGTCCTTTCATTGCACTTTCATTGCACTAATCAGTGGCAAATTCATATGTGCTTCAGTAAAGAAAATAGTCCTGTACCAGAAGAATTTCCATATAAATTGGGTATTCAAGCATTGAACAATACTGTGTTAAAGAAGTCTTTGCTTCTATAGGTCCGATTTTGCTACCTTATTCTCACTTTGTGCTTCTGAGCTGTGTGACTAGATATGCTGATATCTACAGGACAGATACCTACAGATTACAAATGTAGTGGCAGACATTGACCTTTATTTTTACAACAATAGCTTTTCTTTCAAAGGCCTTTAATTAAATGGTTTACCTCTTTTCACCCTTTGTCAAACTTGTAGTTTAATTTGACCTACTTTTTGTGGAATATTTGTTGATACACTGTTGTTAGGTGTCTGATATTCTTCTGGTATTTCTTTTGGTTGGTTAGTTTCTGTGCTGCTTTCTCATCCTTCAGATTTCTATTGCTGCTACTTATACCATTTCCTGCAGCATTAGCCAATATACTGAACAGCTCTGGCTTAAATTCAGGAATGCCCCTTCTAAGCATCATGCTTCTTACCGTGTTGACTGTCGACAGAATTCTTGTTTGGTTTCCTTTATCAGTCATGCATACAAATTAAAAGTGAAATCTTAACAATTTTCTTTTCTTAGTCTTTGTTTCAAGAAAATAAGCAGGCAATGAAATGGAAGGATAAAAGCTTAAAGCTGTTGGCTACTTACTTGTTGGCCTTCTTGATAGCCTCAAATATAAAGACATAGCTGTATATGATAGCAATCAAAGGAATGAAAAAGACAAAGCAGAAAAGCAGCATTGTGTATGCACGGACTGATGGTGTCAAAGTCATGTAGTCCCAGGAACAGGAAGTCATCAGGCCCTCGGGAACATATGCACCTAGAAAGACAAGAAAATGCATAAGCCATGGCATGATTCTTCCTCTCTGTGCAGAAGTAAGAGAAAGAAACTTAGAATAGCATGGGATTTAGTCCCATTCTCATAAAGGGGAAAAGAGTCTTAAAGGATACACAGTGCTTTGTTCAAAGCACTTCTTTTTATTTTACTCTGTTGCCCTGTTATATTTATAAGTCTAAGGCTTCATATCAGAAAGCTGAATAATTTTGTTTCATAAAATCATAGAATGGTTTGAGTTGGAAAAGACGTTAAGATCATCTAGTTCCAACTCTCCTGCCATGGGCAGGCACACCGTGCACTAAACCTTGTCGCTCAAGGCTCTGTCCAGCCTGGACTTGAACACTTCCAGGGATGGAGCTTCACAGCTTTCTCAGGCAACCTGTTCCAGTGCCTCACCACCCTCACAGTAAAGAAATTCTTCCTTGTATCTAACCTAAATCTCCCCTGTTTAAGCCTGAACACATTGCCCCTTGTCCTATTGCTACAGTCCCTGATGAAGAGTCCCTCTCCAGCATCCTTGTAGGCCCCCTTCAGATATTGGAAGGCTGCTATGAGATCCAGTCTGAACAGACCCAACTTTGCTAGCCTGTCTTCATATGGGAGGTACTCCAGCCCCCTTATTATCCTCATGGCACTTCTGTTTTGATTTTTTTTTTAATTAAAGAATTATAAACATATGGGTGAGCTTTATTTTGCAGTTAAGGGAACAACCAGGAAAGCAAAGACTGCCTGCAGTACTTGTGGTGCCTGGGGTGTTTCCTGTGGTGAAAATGAACCAGGTGTACAAGCAGACTTCATCACTGCAATGAGTCCTTCATTTATCTTCTCCCTCCTCTCCAGTGAGTTTTTTGTTCTCCTTCACCAATGAAAGAATATTCCTGACCACCCCCCCATGCCTGGCTCTATCTCTATTTTCAGTGTTTACCCCTCATTCACAAGCTTGATATTTGGACATTTTGTCACAAACAAGTTCATGAGTCATCTGGAAACATCCAGGAACCAACTGGGTGGTCCTCATCTCCTGCTGGCAGTTTAATTTCCATTTGCCAGGTGCCTGTCTTGCCACTGCTTGTTCCTGACAACTTCTATGAAGTTTTCTGAATATACCTTTTCAAGTGTAGCTCCAGGTCCACAGTGATGTCTGTTCCTTGGAGAATGTTCCTGTCTTATTGGCAAGGGTTACCTCCAAACATGAATCAGAAGTCCCCAGAGAAGTGTGAGAAGATGTTTCCATGGGAGTTCTGGTGCCTATTCTTCAGTCCTCCTCACAATATGCATTATACTGCTTCCTCTTCTCCTCATCTGACAGCACCTTATAGGCAGCACCCAGGTCCTGGAACTTTCATGTCCAGGAGTTGTCATGGTTCTTGTCAGGATGGAGCTGCAGCACCAGTTTCTGGTAGGCCTTCTTGATGTCCTTGATGGAGGTGCTGCAGGACATCCCCCCGATCTTGCAGAAGTCCCTCATGGTGGCAGCCTTCCCACAGAGGCCGAGCAGCAGGAGGCAGAAGCAGCCAAGCCAGCTAAGGGCCATGGTGCAGCAACCAGGCCTGCCGGGGGAGGCAGCAGGGAGAGGGAGCAGCATTTCATTTTCTGAATACTGTTTAAAGCTCAGTATAGTCAAAGGGCATCTCTCCAAATCCTTCAGTGGATCTTGGATCGGACTGCGTTGTTTTTAAGTATCTCCCTTTCCTGTCATATTGTCTTCCCAAGGAGTGAAAAGAAACTGATTGCTACAGCTACTACTTTTTTAAGCTTGTGCAGCCAAGAGAAATTTACTGTGCAAAGGAAAATGATTTCTTGTGCAGATCAAACTAATTTTGTCAAGAGGTATAGTTCAGTACAAAGCAAAAAGCATCATACATACATAATATTCTGCCTGATATAAAATATAATCTCCTTAAAGGAACTGTGTCAAAATGTTAAGTAAAAAAGTTGTCACCAGCAGTGTCTTCTTAACTTTGTATTTTAATTTTCACTGTTTTCTGTAATATTTTCTGTTGAATTGTTAAAAGTATTGCACCAGATGTGCTCAGATACATCTGATTGAAGTATGAGAGTTAGTACTGTGGGTGCTATTAGAATCTAATTACAAGATAACAACACCCTTCAAGCAACTATTTTACCTTCTCCAATTAAGAATCTAGAATCTAAGACTACATTCTCATTTTGTCATTCTAATAGCTACTCATTCAAGTAAAGGCTTCTTCTCCCAGTACTGCAGTTCGCCTGCTTAAACATACTTCATGTTTATGGGTGACCAGAATGACAATAACAAGACAATAACAAAATTCTGCTGAAATACTACTCAGTAGCTGAGTTGGTTGCAGCATCGTTTGGGAAGGTCAAACATTGCTGTATTCTCAACTCGGCTGAGTTGACACATTCTCTTCTGGAATTAGGAAGAACAATAATGGGCTAGAGGTTTGAATGATGACTGACTGAAACGGATGACTCATAGGAAACAAATAATGGTAGAGAGATGGATTAAAATGAGGAAGAATAACAGAAACTCTATTTGTTACAAGTTGCAAGGATCAAGATGCTGCATTTGTGTTCTAATTTGCAGGCATAAGATTCACATTTACAAAAGCAAATTAGTTACTGAATGACATCCTTATTGGAAGCCATAGTGAAGATACCAATGGCTGAGTGGAGAACAGAACCAAAACCTGGTGCAATCTGCCCATCTATAGTATTGTCAAGACTTACTGAAGATGTACTTGCAAAAAATACTCAGATTGTATTCCTCTTTTATGTGAATTCTTTCACTTATATTTAATTGGATTTGGTTCAGTCGAAATAGGTATAGGAAAATAGGTGGCTGCATCCTGCCAAGGCCAGTTTTGGAACTGATTTTATCTACTGTTCTTTATTCATTAAAGAATGAGCTTAAGGAAGAGTGCCATTGTCACATAATATGCTGTAATACACTTCCCCCCCTCCCCCTTTGATTAGAGATCTTTAGTTTCAATACATATTTTATCAGTTTTCTTCAAATCTATTTATTCAAGCCTAATATGCAAGCATTCTATACCTGTAACTGGTCTTTAATCCAATGCTATGAGGGAAAAAAAGCTTTTATTCAATTTAACTTACTCCATCCAAAGAAGGGTGGGAGGCTCCAAGCCAAAGAGTACAGCCAGACTCCTACCAGGATTATTAGGGCCTTCTTCTTAGACATCACTCCAACAGAAGCCAGAGGTTTCGTGATGACAAAATATCTGTCCAAGGCAATCACCATCAAAGTGATCATAGATGTAATGCCAAAAAGAGCTCCGCAGAAGGCATACAGCTCACAGCCTTTCAATGAAGAAGACAGAAGTAGCAGTGAAATTAATCTGCCATGCTAATTAATTTCTGGGATAGTTCAAGACTGTGTTTCTTGTGAACAAATGTCTTCTGGAATTTGTAAAGCAACGGAAGTTCACTTTTCCTGCAGTTGGAATGCTGTCTCAAAGCTGCTGTCTTGCCAATTACATTATTTGTGGAGATAAACTTCAAAGATTTTGTTTGCTTGAATTGCTGGAGACAGTGACACTTAACATGTTTTTCTCACTGATTTCTGATGTTTCTAGTGGGATAATTTTAACAGTCCATTAGTAGCTTGTTTAACTCCAGTTCTACTGCAGCTCCAGTAGGAAGGGATGGTTTTTTAACAGTGGGTTATAGCTACTTTGATATCATAGAACCATTTACATTTCAAGGTCATCATAGCTGAAGTAAATATGCAGACTATGAATATATTAATGAGTGATTCTGCTGAGGTAAATATGCAGACGATGTATACATTAATGAATTATTTTAATTATTGAAACAGCCTAGTGATTAAAAGCAGTGGTTTGGGTTTTCATTTTAACATGTATACTTGAACCGTTTGTGGAACTAAAAAAACTGCTTTTGGTCATCAGAGATCATAATAGCAACGTTACCTCTCTGACCTTCCTGTCTGTTGATACCTGTTCAAGAAGCAAGAATGAAGGCACCTTCATTCCACATCTTTCTGCATAGGAAATGTTCTGTTAATATTTCTGTTGTTAAAACTCACTTTTGCCAAGCTTTCTTGCCTCACTTTGCCAAGTGGCAATCCCAGAGCAGGTTATTTAGAAGAGCATTTAAACTGGTGTGTTGTGGGGTGGCGTTGCTTGTAACTTCGGAGCTAAGGTATGACATAACTGGGGAAGAATTCTGGCAAGAAGACTAGTCCTGTGCCTTACGTTGCCAATGTCACCCTTGTATCTACCTCATGTATGTAATTTTCCTCCCCATGGTGGGACTGTATTTATTGCACACAGGCAAAAATGTTCAAAGAAACATTTGTGTCAACAGTGAAACAATGTTGAAAAATGTTCTGAACATTTCAAGGGGACCTGAGGATAAGGAAATAATAGTTTAGCTGCCACTATGATAAGAACATACTTAGTGATAATCTTACAAAGAATATATACAAACCTTTCTCACCAAAAATCCAGCGTTTGTGGAAGCTGTTGGTGAAAAAAACTGGAGACTGTGTAATGGACATCAGGAAGTCACTAACAGCTAGATTGATGATGAATATGTTGGCTGGAGTCTGAAGGCTCCTACTCCTAAAGAGAGCAGAAGAAATATTGCTAAACACTGTTGCACCGTTAATTCCATTGTTGCTCTTTCCTGTGAGCTTTGTTAGCTTCACAAATACCAAGGCACATTCTATGCAGTAAGCTAGAGCAGAGTGCTTCTCATTTCCTTCACAAGAGAACATAAGCAAAGCTGTTTTATACCTTTATACTCCTGTGCACTTTAGAGGATTCACAGCTCAGTGACGGGGATAAACTGTATTGTTCTTTAAATATTCTGACCCAGTGCACTGCATGTCCATGATTAACAGGAAATTAAAGTGATGTATTCTATGGATTTCTGTATCTAGGTCATTTTAAGTAGGGGGAGGGGAGTGCATTTCCCACTACTGATAAAACCAGCAGTGACAAATACAGGGATTAAGCAAACTCACATGTACCACATCAAGCATTTTGGTTTACATCCCTTCTTCTCTGTGACACTCATTTCACTGCCCAGACACTAGCTTTAAACAGATCAATAGCCATCCTTCAGTGTATCCTGCCTGTGTATGTTATTCACAGTATTGTAGTATAGTGTTTTAAGGGGTGCACATAAAAGCTCAACTGAGAACTCCTCAGTTTGCGATCTCTGTGTAACATTTTAGCTCCTTTCTCTAATTTTCAATCTGAGGCACAATTGAAAAATACCAGCATAAATGATGAGTTTTTTGCACTGATCCAGAATCAATTGATAGGGCTACCGTAACCTGTTCGCAATTTAGGAGCAAGGAGTTATTATTAGTAGATGCTTATGGGCCACTTGTATTTTGTTCAGTAGTCTGCAAAGTTACTGAATATATTTCTGGCAGCTGGTTGTCTTACAGTTTGCCATTACTTGAGACTGCTTTGTAGGCATCTGATGTGTTCTCCAAACTTCTGATGTATTTATTACTTTGCAATCAATATCCCTTTCTGTCTTCATAACGTCTTCAAATTAAGACAGATGTCCTTCAGTGGAACTGCAGCTGCCATGGCTGGATTTCCTGTATGGGACCAGCCAAAGAGCTAAGCAGCTCAAGTACTTCATCCTCACATATATGGTCTGCACGCCAACGCCTATTCTGTTTTTAAGGCCATATCATTCACACTGAAGTGTTGGTATCTACTATGAATGCACATACTGAAACCTGCCATTTAATGCACCACATAAATATAGGCTCAACACCCAGCCTACTTTCACCCACACTCCAGTGATTCAAGTTAACACAGACAAATTATCATAGAATTGCTGTTATTTTAGTTCATTACATTTGTTCCCAAAGATCAATGATGAAGTAGAAGCTCACTGGCGTGGACATCGTGCCAATGCTCTGCCCAAGTGTGACAAAACAGAAACAGGATGGCAGAACAGGAATGGTGAAAGTATCACATTTTTGTCAGAGATCCAGTTTCCTTCAGCTATAAAAGCTGGAATGTGGATTTAGTTAAAAGGAAATAGGCCAAGTGTTAGAAAATGTGAAAACAAGAGACATGACAGTAAGGAACAGAGTGGGAAAAGAAACTGGGTAGTAAGCAGCACTTCTAAAATAGAGAAGATATGTGGGAGACACAGGTGCAAAACATCCCATCAGTCCAGTGCAGACATAATTCAGCCAATAGAAGAAAAAAAAATCACTGGCTGGTTTCTGCTTTGGCTGCTTTTCTATTGCTTGACATATCTGGGTGATTCTTTGCAGTTTTACTAAGAGTTTTCCTGTGGCTATGGTTAATGGGAGGGAGTCACAGAGAAGTGGCAGGTTGTCATTTTTTTTTCCTACAGCAATGTCTTTTGGTGCATTTGACTATGTCTGGATAGTAGTCTGATGGTAACATTGGCTGTGCTGCATTTGCAGAGCACAGTCAAGGTACTGTTAATGTTTATAAATCTGAGTATTTTTTAAAAAAAATCAGAAAGACAGATACCTGCAGAAGACATAGAAGACCAGGAAATTACCCAGAGTTCCTGTGATTCCCACAATAAGAACAACTACTCCAATTGTATAGTGGGCATGGTCTGGGACATCCACTGTAGGAAAGGCACCCGGCACATCTTGCGCTATCATCTTCTGTGGAGTAAACAAGAGGTCACAGGTATATCAGACTTTACTGAATAAACTGGCATGTGCTTCTCTAGAGGAGGAAATTGTCAAGAATGAAAAAAAGCAGCAAGCAAAAAAAAAAAAAGTTAATTGCTTTTAAATCACATTTACTGTTGATCACCTTCAGGAGACAAATATGCCATCAGCAGTGCAAAGGTCAAAGGGCTGTTTATATTTTTACTGTTGGTTTAGAATTTTGATGAAGAAAGGCAATGAATTTTCTCCCAATAGAAAGATAGGGATATAGAGAACTGAAAAGAGACAGGAGGGGGACCCTTTTCATTGCATCTGACATCAAGTAATGCAGTGCTAAACAAGTAAGTTTTCTGTAGTTTTGGGGGGAGTTTCTGTACCTGTGAAGTGCGATTTCTGTTTTCCTCTGACATCACTGGCTAGACTTCTCTAACTAGAAATGATCTTCTGTGGATGAATATGCATTTTTTTCTTTAGTAGTATGGCTATTTCATTTCTCCTGCTGAATAACACTGAATTGTGAGCTGCCCTCAAGACTCAGTTACCAAAAGCCTGGCAGCATTCAGCAAGAGTTCCTTGGAAACTAAATTAAGGATTAGAAAAACTAAACCACAAATCCTTTATACCTTATGCGTGGTTTCCATACCAGTTCTATTTTCACTCTACACTGAATTAAGGTATTTTGCTGTCTGTGAAGTATGTGACAAATCACTTGATGAAAGCATATGTGTCTTAATCAACTAATAACTCACAGCAAAATTCAGTAAAGTCTGAAGGCTACAGCATTTTAAACAATAATTTAAAAACATTTTTTGGTTACTTATCAGGAGCCATGAACACATTTTAAGCTGAGTGACCCCAGATTAGTAATGAAGCAAATAAGGCTGCATCCAGGAAGCAGGATGACCTGATAGACCTTGAAGAGAACAGCTGTCCAAACCATCACCGTTATGCTGCCTTTTGCCATAAGGTCAGGCAGGGAGACTTAAACACTTCTGTGCAACTGCCACTGTTCTCAACATGTCTTGGCATCAGCTCCAGCCACCTAATGGAGTCATGACAAATATCAAGTCCTGTCCTCACTCATCTGCATGGACAGATCCTGTCTGTTCTTCATAGCCAGGCTTACCTCATCAAGGATGGCAGTCACTATGGAATGGCATGCCAATGCCACTGCTCATAGCTCAAGCCTGCAAGATGCAGCCATGGCATTCCTCAGCTACTGAGCTATAAGAATCACACAAGGATTGAGAAATGCATGGGAATGTTTCGAATCATTTGTAGCCTCCCTACTGTGAACACTGTCAACTTGGCTGTGGCCTAGGATCCAGGACAAGTGAATTGCCTGTATCAAGGTCTGTGCCTTTATCAAGCTTTAATAGTGCTATGAGGCTGTATATGTTCTTTTGAATTGTAAATACTGGCAGGTGGTGTTACAGCTGTCATGTGCAGTCATTCCTTCCCAGGAAAAGGAAGGTTGCTGGTAAGAAAGGAGGAAAGTGCTCATGGGTAGACATGAAGTTCTCCCTTTTATGCTGCAGTTGTTTATGCAGTAGTTGGTATTTGCAGTCAGAGTGCAACTCAGAAATGCCTTTGACAATACCCCAGTTATCAAAGGAAATGGTTATTTTCAGACAATAGAGGCAGACATTACTTCTGAATACATCTGTGAGATTGGGCAGAAGTTATGAGAGTGTATATTTAAAACAAAGGTGGCAATAGCAGGAGGTGAACCCCAGGACTGTTTGGAATTCTGGAAGAGTTTGTCTTTGCTTGTATGCTGAAGATTTGCCCACAGCCATCCTCAACAACTAGAAAGCACTCCCTGGGTTTCTGCATTAGCAGCAATAAAATGCTGGACAAATACCCTGAGCTTAGAGAAGGAAGATGTGGATATGGCTGTTACTGTAATTGGAGGAAAAGGTTGAAGTTGATATACTAACCGAATAACAGTATCATGGCATTTTTTGTTCAGGTTCCTGTACCAAATTGTAGGTTGGCGTCACATCATCAACAACAGTGGGCATCTTGCCTAATTAGAAATTGCTGTGCCTAACACACTGCCAGTAAAATAACCCAAAAATCCCACACTAATAGCAAGTGGAGAGGGAGAGTCTGAGATAAAAGTGTTGCAAATAAATGAGATTGGGTGTTCCTTGGTTTGTTTTGGTTTGTTTTTTTTTGTTGTTTTTTTATTGTTTGGTTGTTTTTTTTCCTTAGGATTGTGGCTCAAACATATTTTAACTGCTGTTCTAAAGAGAGTTCATGATGATTATTAATGGAATGGAGATTTCTGATGTTTTTTTCCTGTAGCTATCCATTTAATAAGAACTGGATCAAGGTAGCAGAAATGAAGCAACTAAAGGAGCTTGTTTTGGCTACAAAGAACAGATTAAAGTGGTTTTAATTTGAATTGAATTTATGGAGAACTAAGGACAAGGAAAAATTTAAAAGGTAAATATAAACACACAGAGAAATCACAAGAGAGAAGAGGTTATTTAAGGGACAGTAGAAGACTTTAAAATCACTTGCTCAGGAATAAAACAAGTTCAGAATCAACAAAAATGTCAAGTGTGAAAAAATAAAGGAATAACTTAGTGGAGCCATGATAGAACATAAGCAATACTAAGTATATGGGAGGAGCAAGTATATGGGAGGAAAGAGGAACAAATTCACATTTTAGTGTGGACTTCCTGTTGGCCTGGGATTTTTACCACAGGGTCCAATTCTGACTATTCTCTAAGAGGCAAAAGTCATTTATTAAAAAAAGTAATTTCAGTGGTTTTGTTGGAAATACAGAGCTGCTTCAAATTTTCTTTAAGGCAAAGAAAGGTACTGGTTGACTGACAAGGCATAAATAAGACCTGACCACTTCAAGTTCATCACTAAGTTGCATGCATACTGCTTCCTTACTAGAAAATGAAAACACATGCCTGTATGTGTTGCAGATCTTCTACAGGAATTGTACTTCAAAATAAAGGGCAAGGAGAAAAAGATAGTGCTTGAAGAAATCAGGTCAGCAGGATAATCAAGAAATCAGACAATTCCCAAAGCTTTTCTCTATTCAGTTTCTCCAGCAGATGGGCCTTATTTAGCCTCTGTCTTCTGGTATGAGTATTTGATTGGCAGGGGAGAATAAAACCCCACTGTTGCAATCTCCACTGTAGCAATTGTCCTTTGAGAATACTCTGAACAAGTATTCCAATTGCACTGATAATACACAGCATTGTTGCCTTGCATTTTTTTTTTCTATTCAGAATTCTTTTTAGAATCACCTCCTAATGAAGAAAAAAAAAACCAGGCAAAACCAGCACTTCATTATTCCTCTTCCAAGCGATGTGAAAACACAGCTAATTTAATGTTACATTGTTCAAAACGTCACCAAATGCACAACGAAACTGAATTGGAAGCTAAGAGGTTGGACATTTTCCAGTGGATGGACAAATGGACCACAGCTTTCCTGAGTCAACAAGATACTTGCACCTGAGGCTCTAGACCACTGGGTGCCAGTATACCCACAGACCAGCTGTGCTGCAGGTGGCTTGGGTCGGTATTCATTCTGTAGGAAGCAATTCATTGGGAAGCACCAACTTCCTGAGAGTCATTGCACATTTCTCAAGCAAGCATAAAATGATCATGGAAGCTGTAGAGGACATCAAGGTAGTAACTGTAATGTAACAAAATTTCCTTACGGTAAGTACTGAAAGTCAGCTGGAGAACATATCGTAGCCGTGGACAGCATTTTAGTCAAGCTTAAAAGCAAGGTTTATAATACTGGCCTTTCGCTAGAACTGTAGAAGAATTTGTGTTCTTAATCTCCAATAGGCATATAATTTATTATTTATTTACACCATAGTTTTGCATAATCAGATGGATAATTTTAGTGTCATCAGGAACTTAGGGAAGCGCCACACTGATTCAGAGCACCATTCCAGACCAAACACTAGCCTGCCTTTAGCCACAGCTGGGTGTTTCACAGAGCTTCAAAACATGCATAGTGAACAGTGATGTGGGAATTTAATTTTCACTATAGAGTCTTAGCAGTTAATTTGTAGCCTAAAACAGGCGTACTGTCCATTTGAAAGGATAATCTTAGAGGAGGATATTTTTATTCTCCAGATATAGGTGTAATCCTTTTCTAAATCCTACTTATCATTTGCCTCAATAGAGTTAGTAGCAGGAAGTTACGAAGTTATGAAGTTGCCCTACATTAGTGTATTTCTTTCCAGCAAGTTTAAGTATATCTTTGTGAAAACACTAGAATAGAGGGAAATAGATAGGTTTAATGCAATCTACTTTCTTAAAATGTTCACTGTTCTCCCTAAGGAAATGCTTGTCTACTGCCTGCAACAAAACAGCTAGAACAGAACTGACCATGTTTTCAGTTACCATTCAGTAAATTTGACTGAGACTTACAAATTTAAGATGTTTTTGGGGAGTTTGGAAAAGAGGGAGTGTTTGATAGATAAATAGGTCTAAGTCCTTTCTGTTCTGGCCTTGTCTGTGGAAGCTGCAGCACAGCATGGAGCCTCATTCTATATCTATGGCCTGTTTCCCCAGCTGGTTACAAGGGAAGCAGAATTCTTTCTGGAGGGCCAATTTGAGGAGCAGCCTGCTTCTTCAGGAAGAGAACAGTGCGCTGTCATTTCTGCTAAGGCTTGGTGCAAGCAGAGTGTTGGGGCTTAAGCACTGAACCCAGGACACAGAGAAAGGGGTAAAAATGAATCAGCCACAGAGTACATCAGTGTAGGGCAGAACTTGAATTTCACCATGAAGTTTGTTAAGACCCTGCAAGACACTGGTCTGAAGAGAGTTAAAAGGCTAAAGGAATTCCTTTGCAGTCCAGGACAAAACAGTGATTCCTAAGTGATTTGCCCAGGTTAGAAGGAATTCTAGATCAGATATAAATAGGAATATTTGACACCTGCATCTATTCTGTCTTGGGAATCTGTTTATTATACACGTTTTCATAAAGAGATGACTCTTTAAATAGTTATTTTGTAATATAGTAAAAAACCCCAAACAAGAAAAAAACCCCAAAAAACAACAAATCAAAACCAAAACACAACAAACCAACGCTAACCAAAAAAAACCAAACCAGCTTAGAATAACTTCTAGCAGAGAACATACCATTTTCGAAAGGACAACACACAAACAATGCAGTTCAACTATTACTGTGGAAAAAAACCCACCCTGTTTTCAAAGTAAGAAAAAGGTCATATCACTTAACTAACTGTCCACTTGGAAATGTTGATTGTTGAAGTTCTACTAAAGCTAACAGTGTTGATGGTAGGAGCAAGGCCATGAATGTAAATACTTGTACTGAACATAAAATCATGTTTGATATAGCCCACTCCTCATGTTCTCCCAATGGTAAGAGTATAAAGCAAGGTTTAGTTTATACTTACAGGGAAAGCAGAAATCCTCATAAGGTCATTTCGGGATTTGAACATATTTCAGTGCTGGTTCTGATTGATATATTGATTTTTATTTTTGTGTGTGTGACATTGTCTCCAAAGCCAGGAACAGAAAAGACTAGGACAAGGACGTTTTTCAGCTACCTCTGCCTGGACATTTGATGGATTGCATCTATTTGGTGTAAAACAACACAAAGAAAGGGGCATAGGAACTGCTATGTCACTGCTTTTATGAATTCATCTGGCTTCAAACTGTAAGCATTGGTCTTGCATATTGAAAGTTTCAATGGAACAGAGCCCAGTTCCAAAACACAACAAGTTTTGACAGTCCCACATTGATTTTGGGAATGTATCAAGTTTCTTTGTTCTTAATTTTCCTACAAATACAGATAATGAAGTGGCTTATTTACACAGTAGGACTTCTACAACCAATGGTAGCATTAGGCCTTTTACATTACAGCAAATCATACAGTTTAGAAAAATTATCAGAAATACTGTAATTTCCTAGGGTTTCTAGGTGCAGTGTTGGTACTGCCTATCTAAAAGGGACTTCAAACAACTGGTAACGCTTATTTTTCTTTACGGTTCCTTGCCCTGATTTCTGAGCTTGCCTCTGTAGGCACTTGCTCTGTGATGACAGGCAGCACAAAGAGGAGTGTAATCCCGTCTCAATTATGGTTTCAGCAGGGTGAGGCCAACTGCTAAACCCTCTTTCCAGTAGACAGCAGGACTTTCCATAGATGATGCTTTTCCTGTTGAGCAATTTGGATAGCAGATTTTGTATCCTGTCTTCTGGATTTAATATCAACCACAAGCAGCACTTATTGCTTTCAGTCCTGAAATTCTCTTAAACCAATCTTTGTGTCAAATTAAAATGCAAAACTTTGAAAATACACACACTTGGTCTAGAGAGAGGAAACAGCTAATTATGTTTTTTCAGCAGGATAAGGAAGAAATCCATTTCTAATTTTCTGATGTAAGTCACTCTGTCCCCAGAATCCTTTTCCATTTTTCCATGTGCTCTCCAGTCCCTGTTATCCCTGCCTGCTGTGTTCCACTATCCTCTTTCATATGTTATCCATCTAATTTAGTTTGTAAGCGCCTTGGCTCAGGACCCTTCTCTGTTTATCTTTCTGTAAGACACTGCACAAATCCAGTTTTTATTAAAAAATAAATAATCAGACTGCATTTTTACTATGCAAATACTAAAATATTTACTGATCCTTCATTATAAATTAGGGTCAAACTGAAAAACTCAATCCAACATCCTGTATGCATAAAACCTTCTGGAGTGTTTGTGTTGAAACTTGAACACAGTTTTAAAGTGTCTACTGTGTTATGTGGGCCATGCCAAAATACCTGGTGTGACCACATCAAGAATTTAAGTTGAATTTCAGATTTGGAAAACTTTTAAAATTAGCTTGTTTAAAGTATTTTATTCTTTACTTTTAAACAGACTTATGTGTAAACAACAGGTGAACAAAACTGTGTAGTTCTAATAGTAGACTGAGAGACGCAACAGGAAGAGGACTTCTGACTTCTTTGGTTTGGGCGTGTGGGTGGGAATGGAGAATATTTTTAGTCAGCCCAAAGGAATTTGATCCTGAAATGTCATCACAGTGGAGTCTCACCTTCACACCTCTAAGGAAATTTTCTTTCTGTTTAGTATTTAACAGCTGAGAAAGAGCTTTGATAGAACTTACCTGAAAGCCTTCTGAACAGATCTCATGGGTAACTGCAAATAACGACTCTTTAACATTTACACTCCACTGCACTTACAGACTGTTACAGAAATTAGGGGGATTTCTATGTTGAATAGTAACACAAGACAGCATTGTGTTTAACTACTAAACAGCTGTTTAATGCCCAAGAACCTGTTCTTTTGACAGTTTGCAACGTATTTGGTGTGCTTTGCCATTAGCCCTTCCTCCCTATCTTCTGCCCATGTAACTGCTGAAAAACCCTACTTCTACAGTCCTTTTTGTGGTAAATAAATAGTTAAAGTAATGAAAAGAAGATTTTAAAGTTTTCATTATGTTGTTCATTATGACATTACAGCAACAAATGTGTGCATGCACCTTAAATGTCCATTCACAGTTCCACAAATGCCAGCTTTGCCAGCAGAACTACTTGCTACAGCTTTTAGTGACAGAAAACACTTACTGTTGGGTCTCTAAGCAGCAGGTCCATCAGTGTGTAGGCATTGGCTTCCAAGTCATTCCAGGTGTTGAAGGACTCCACAATTTTGGTGCAGTTGGTATCCTCACAGGTACAAGAGATCTCCCTTTGAATGAGCTGGCTGTTTACATGAACAAAATCTAAGAAAAGGAAAGAAAGAAAAGCTCTCCTCTGAATTTAGTCAGCCAATTTACCTTTTTATGTGTATGTAAGGCAGATTGTTAGGTTCTCTGGAATAACGTGAGGTCCAGTGCAGAGTTTCCCACTAGAGCTTCAGATCGCTTCACTCCATCTTCAGCTTAGCAAAGGGCAGCAGCAGCAGCTTCCACTTAAATACAGGAGACAGCAGGGTCTGCACATGCCCAGTTTGAAGATTGTTCCATGCAGATTCCAGCTGCACTTTAATGCAAGTATATAAAACTAACGCTGACTTAAAAGTGCTGTTTTCTTTTTTGCCTTTGACAGTTATGTGTCTGAATTATAAGGCTATATCCATATTATCCACATGTGAAGACAAACAAGTTAAAAGATTGACTTCACTGTCTGTTGTAAATATTAGACTTTACTGTTCATTTTCACTGTACTGGTAAATTAGTTTTTTGTAGTCTGCTTTTAAAGAAGATGTATGTGTACAGTTCTGCTGAAATTGGCTGAACTCAGATTCTGATATTTAACAATGTGCTTATGTGCACTTCTGTCTTGTAGAATTTAGGTCACAGTTGGTCCACTTCTAAAAATAAACAAAAAATAGGGATAAAACCCACTGACATCATCTTTTTCGGCTCTTCAGTTAAAAAAAATAAATAAATAAAACCACAAAACCCCAGGCAAATACCTTAGGCAGAGAACAGCAAACAGCCACTTCTTTCAAGAGTCGTCTGCTTCCTTTTACAGTTGTGTTTAGTTAGCGTGTACATGAACAGATTCTTCTTCACACAAATCTTCCTTTGCACTGCACTATGCAAAGAGATGCAAATTGCTGTATTCGCAGTTGAAGGCCCATTACTGTGGTAAGAGAAGTTTAATTGCAATAGAGAATTAAGCAGAGTGTGAAAAAGCTGTTCCAGCAGATACTGCAGCCTGAATATCACAGAGTTTAGGCCTTCTACCCACTGTAAAAATAGCCTAAATGAAAGCTATTTAGCTTCACTGCAGTTGATAATAAAAACAGATGGTGTGAACTGTTCCTGGAGGCCCTTGTGAGAAGGTTGTTCAGTAGGATCTGTATTCCTCCACCTTTGCATGGATTCCAATTCTCACGTACTTTTCCTTAAATTAGCACTTGCACAATCTAACCTTAGACTGGGGGAAAACATTGCATTTCTTTGCATGAACAGGTTCTGTGCCTCTGTATCAAAGGCACTCATCTACAGTGCTGAAATTACCTTTCCTTGATAGTCATACAAGGCATGTAGCATTTACTTTGTGTCACCAGGCCACTGAACATTACCCAGAGGAGAGACTTATACTCTACAAGCACTCAAACTGTGAGATCTTAAAAATAATTATTAGGAGATTTGTTGTGAAAGGCAGAGAGATTTCACTGAGTATCTCTACCCTTCAGTGTTAGGTAGACACGACCAACCCAGATTTCAACTATCATCTGTGGCAGAACTGATCTCAGAGGTGGCTAATCACTGACAATTTTCAACATGGTCAGTGTCTGAAATTTTGTGGTCATTTTCTAGGGAGTGCTCTTCCCCTTTTCTCTATGCGTGACATCAGACACTTGAATATCAGGGCAATAGTGGATATGACATTAATGGTACGAACTTCAGAAGACACTGATGTGAACTCCAAATCCATCCCTGTATGCCTGGATACACAGTATTTGCATGCAGCACGCTGTAGGTGTGAAGCAGCAGACAGTGGGGTTGGACATCTTGACAGGAGACTTTTGGAAGGTAATTTTGCATTTTACTACTAAAAAGGCAGTAGTCATTACAGAAAGCCACAACGTGAAACTGTCAAAAACTTGTACTTTATTCAACTTAAGCTTATCAAGGGAATAGAGCAGAAAATATATTTTCATTATGAAGTGCATAGAAAAAAATGCAATGGGAGATTTGTGTGAACTTCATATTCAGAGAAGTTCCATACAGTTACATCGTGCTCTTATCAAACTGATAAGATACAAAGTTTGAGACATACAATCTTCAAGGACAGGCATAAATACTAGGTCAGAGGTGTTCTCTGACTTGGCATTCTAATTTTCTTTGCTCAAATCCACTTAGTTTTCTGCTTTGTATCTTAGTTTTGCGTAATGACAACACTCATTCTCTTTACATACAGCTTGTACATTAAGTTTTTCTTTTCCCTTGGTCACAGATTACATTTTTCTTCCTTCTTATTTCCTCTCATCTTAATAACAACTCAGTGCACTGAAAATATTTCCTTTCCAATTAGCTTGGAAGCATTCAATTTTTGGTATTGTTGGGGAAGCCCATAATATATCTGGCAGAGTCATCAAATCATGGAATAAATGTAGTCTTTTTTAAAGTAAATCAGACATTATAGAAACTATGTAGCTTCTTGATTCATTAGATTTGGTGGTGTCGTAATTTCCAGATAGAATAATCAGATTAGTACAGCAGTTCTCAAGAGTATATTATAAAAGAATAAAAGTATAAAGGACAGAAAGAAAGTTTTCCCAGTGAGAAATGGATGCTAGTCCAAAGATTTGATTTGATATCCTTCCTTAGGCTCTGGGGCTGTTTTTGTGAATAGTAAGCATTTGCAAGCTAGAGGTGAAATTGTTTCTGAAAATTGGACCCTAACACTAAGATTCATGTCCAATGGAAATATTCTCATATGATTACAGTTGTCTGATCCTGTGTTATAGCCAATTGCTAGAGGCGATTCAGCTGACCTATTTTCTGTGCAATGGATCAGCTTCCATGGAAGGAAGTCATGTCCTAGAACTGCAGAAGGTGTGAAGTATGAGACTTCTCATTCTCTGTACCAAGGGTTTGGGAATTCAGACAAAGAAAAATAGCAAATCATTCAGAGAACTTCTCTCTCAGATTTGCTTTTGGTTTATATGCAGTATTTGGTTTATATGCGAGTATTACATTGCAAATAAAAGACAGACTAGGGACAATGTGGTCCCTCTCCAGAAGCTAACAGGAGAACTGGCTGCCCTGGATTTGGAGAATCTGAGGGTTCTTAATGACTTCTTTGCCTCAGTCTTTACTTGCAAATGCTCTGACCACACCACCCAAGTCTTGCAAGGCAGATGCAGGGACTATGAGAATGAAGACCCTAGGCCCACTGTAGAAGAGGATCTGGTTCGAGACCATCTTAAGAACCTGAATGTACACAAGTCCATGGGACCTGATGAAATCCATCCATGGGACCTGAAGGAGCTGGCGAATGAAGTTGCTAAGCCACTGTCCATCATATTTGAGAAATCATGGCAGTCAGGTGAAGTTCCCGATGACTGGAAAAAGGGAAATATAACCCCCATTTTCAAGAAGGGGAAAATGGATGACCCAGGGAACTACAGACCAGTCAGTCTCACCTCTGTGCCTGGCAAAATCTTGGAGCAGATTCTCCTGGAAGGCATGCTAAGGCACATGAAAAACAACAAGGTGCTTGGTGACAGCCAGCATGGCTTCACTAAGGGGAAATCCTGCCTGACCAATTTGGTGGCCTTCTATGATGGGGCTACAGAACTGATGGACAGGGGTAGAGCAGTTGATGTCATCTACCTGGACTTGTGCAAAGCGTTCGACACTGTCCCACACGACATCCTTGTCTCTAAATTGGAGAGACATCAATTTGATGGATGGACCACTTGGTGGATAAAGAACTGGCTGGATGGCCGCACACAAAGAGTTGTGGTCAATGGCTCAGTGTCCATTTGGAGACCAGTAACAAGTGGTGTCCCTCAGGGATCAGTGTTGGGACCGGTCTTGTTCAACATCTTTGTCGCTGACATGGACAGTGGGATTGAGTGCGCCCTCAGCAAGTTTGCCGATGACACCAAGGTGTGTGGTTCCGTTGATACGCTGGAGGGAAGGAATGCCATCCAGAGGGACCTTGACATGCTTGTGAGGTGGGCTGATGCCAACCTCATGAAGTTTAACCATGCCAAGTGCAAGGTCCCACACCTGGGTGGGAGCAATCCCAGGCACAGCTACAGGTTGGGCAGAGAAGAGATTCAGAGCAGCCCTGTGGAGAAGGACTTGGGGGTGTTGGTCAGTGAGAAAATGAACATGAGTCAGCTTCAGTGTGCAATCGCAGCCCAGAAAGCCAACTGTATCCTGGGCTGCATCAAAAGGAGTGTGACCAGCAAGTCGAAGGAGGTGATCCTGCCCCTCTGCTCTCGTGAGACCTCACTTGGAGTATTGTGTGCAGTTCTGGTGTCCTCAACATAAAAAGGACATGGAACTGTTGGAACAAGTCCAGAGAAGGGCCACGAGGACGATCAGGGGACTGGAGCACCTCCCGTATGAAGACAGGCTGGGAAAGTTGGGGCTGTTCAGCCTGGAGAAGAGAAGGCTGCATGGAGACCTCATAGCAGCCTTCCAGTATCTGAAGGGGGCCTACAGGGATGCTGGGGATGGACTCTTCATTAGGGACTGTAGTGACAGGACAAGGGGTAGCAGGTTAAAACTTAAACAGGGGAAGTTTAGATTGGATATAAGGAAGAAGTTCTTTACTGTAAGGGTGGTGAGGCACTGGAATGGGTTGCCCAGGGAGGTTGAGAATGCTCCATCCCTGGTGGCGTTCAAGGCCAGGTTGGACAGAGCCTTGGGTGACATGGTTTAGTGTGAGGTTTTGCTGCCCATGGCAGGGGTGTTGGAACTAGATAATCTTAAGGTCCTTTCAAACCCTAACCATTCTATGATTCTATGATTAAATCAGAATGACTCAAAGTCTTTTGCTGAGCAATAACTGTTTTCCTTTAAGGTTATCTCACTTAAACTTATCAGAACACTAGACTTACAGATCTGGAGGGAAATTTGATCTCAGGCTCTCCCTTGTTTATTCTCTACCAAAAGCTTAGCTCTGTTGTATCCCTGGAAAACTTAATGGAAGAAATGTATCAGTTCATAACCCCAGGTAATTACTAAAGCTATCCAGCTCATCCTAAAGTTTTCAAATATTTCTGCCAGTGTTGTGTGTGAAACATGCCAGAAGCCTACCTGGCTTGTGGCCCAGGTCTGAATTACTCTCCAGTCACTTCTGGAGAAAAGAAAACATGCCCAGAATTCATCTTTGAGTCCTGTCACATTGAAGTATGGTGAGAACATCCTTCCCTGTTTTAGAGTCCTGACTTTCACCTGCTCCTCTCTGGTGGGTTGACCCTGGCTGGATATCAGGTGCCCATCAAGCCACTCTGTCACTCCCCTCCTCAGCAGGGGAAGAGGGGAGAGGAAATAAGATGGAAAAAACTTGTGGCTCAAGATACAGGCAATTTAATAAAACAAAAGCAGAGGCAAAACATGGAAGCAAATGAAAACAAAATATTTATTCTCTGCTTTCCATCAGCAGGCAATGTCCAGCTATTTCCTGGGAAGTAAGGCTTCAATACACATAGTGATTGCTACACTAAACATCTTAACAAATGCTCCACTTCCTCCTTTCTCTTGGCTGTTACTGCTGGGCAGACATTATATGGTATGGAATATCTCTTTGGTCAGTTTGGGTCAGCTGTCGTGGCTGTTCTCTCTCCTGGGATCTTACCCACCCCTAGCCTACTTGTGAGGGGGGAATGCTGGAGGGACAGCCTTGCGGCTGTGAGACTAGCCAAAACACTGGTGCCTTGTCAACACCATTATAGCTACCAACACAAAGCACAGCACTATGAGTGCTGCTATGGGGAAAATTAGCTCCATTTCAGCCGTCCCAAATACAACTCCTTGATATTGATAATTCTGTTCATAGATTTTTATAAACTACAGGCAGAAGTAGCAGAAAGAGCCATTCCATGAAACTGAGAAAACTGCCAAACAAGACAAGGGAACGATAATACATGGGTAAAATTTAATTAAAGTCCAAATGAGCTTAGGAGTTCTTTCACAGTGAGCGAAAGGGATCAGTGTCTTCTTTGTTTGGGAGCTCTGCGTGGAATTAGGTTTTAACTGATCTGTAGGAGTACAGAATGGACTGAAAGAACAGGTAATTTGTTGCTTAGAAGATAAGCAGGGTGCTGTTGGAGAGTTAGAAGACCAGGGGTATGGTCAGCCAAGCATTAATGTCCCTGAGACATATTTACACCTGGGCTTCCTTTAGTTTTCCAAAAGATTACCCAGATTTAGTTTTCCAAAAGATTACCTAGGTTTCTGAGGCCAACATAAGGAAAGTGGAATAGACTACTCAGTCATAGAAAAGGTAAAGTCCCACTTGTCTTCGACACAAACAAGATACTGTGCAGATACAGTTCTGACACTTGGGTTACCACAAATGAGGA